CCTCCTAAAACACTTAAGTCCCTTTTCTTTGCTGCAAAGGACAAATAATTTATAACTTTAGGGTATCTGATGATTTTCTTGCATAATCGTTAAAAGTGTAAGCTCTGGAGTGAGACCATCCTTCCTTCAAACCCCAGGATGGCGATTTATGAGTTTTGTGACCTGAAGCAGTTATACAACTGCTCTGAATCTCAGTTTCCTCATCTGTGAAATGACGACAGTAAATGTTACCAACCTCAAAAGTTTCTTGTGAAGATTAAATCGGACATTTAATGACATTTGGTTTTTATTAGAAGCTATATTGAGAAAAAATGGCGCTTAATTGTAAGCAGCTGGCCCTGGGAAAGACAGCTAAAGGATTCAGGCACTTAGATATGGGGGGTGTGAGGGGGGGGAGAGAGAGAGAACGAAAATTAAATATATGGCAGGTATGGCAAGATGGTGGGTAGCAGTAGGATATCCGTAGGAAGCCAAGATGAGACTAAACTGCCTTTCCTTATTATGAATATAGCTTTTATTTTTTTGTAAAGAGGACCAGAAAACTTATTTCAAACTTTCTCTGGTATAAAGAAAACACATGTTCAGTGAAGAATTTAGGGATTCTAGAGTCAACCTCAATCAAGAAATTCAGGAAGACGACTTTATACTTCATTGATTGCCAGACAGATGTTCTCCCTCTGTGCCACGCTGCAGAACCCTGAACAGCATGCAGGCCAACCGAGAGCAAACAGCAGAGGCAGAAAGAGACTGACAGTAAGTCAAGAGTCGTCAAGCTGGTCCTGAGCACCCAGCATGTGCCAGGCTTTGTGTTATTGGTGATGAGGTCCCAGGCCCTCACAGAGCGTGTATTTCTAGGTAGCAAGTCCCTGGTGCCAATGGGGGGGGGGGGGACGAACTGGGGAGGGGGGCGAGGAAACCACACGTATGGGGCAGCCAGAAAATGAACCTTGGCCGTTATGGCCACGTCATTTAAAAATATCAACAGTCGTCAAGCTGGTCCTGAGCACCCAGCATGTGCCAGGCTTCGTGTTATTGGTGATGAGGTCCCAGGCCCTCACAGAGCGTGTATTTCTAGGTAGCAAGTCCCTGGTGCCAATCTGTGGACATTCTAGAACAGAATCACTGGTAGCAAAAATTTGGGTTCTTCAGAATCTGTGCAGAGATCCCACCCCTGACCTCATGAATCAGACATTCTAGGGGAACACAGGAGGCTACATTTTTCCTAAGTGCCCTCTGATGATTCTGAGCAACACCACTGGTGTTTCTCAAAGGATGGTCTTCTGACCACCAGCATCAAACTCAGCCTCTCTAAGAGTGTAGCATGGGCATGTGAGTTCTCAATACACCCCAACGTTTGAGAACTATTCTGCTAGACTGTCTTTCTCTTACACCACTGCCTTTCCAGTAAATAATATGTGTGTGTGTGCACTATAAATTGCAAAACATGATGCAAAGTTGGGTATAGTTCTTCAGACCATTCAATAAACTGAGAAAGTCCAATATTTACAAGTAACTAACTGAATCGGCAAGGAATACAAAAAGGCATCCCCAGAGCTTGACAGGCCTCTGACAGAATCCTCATGATTCTTCTGATTGTAGCAGTACCTTTTGGCAGGTAAGTCTGCTAGAACAGTGCTGCTACCACAACTGAAGGCCCTTCTGCCTCTGGCTCCTGGAGCAGAGCTGTGATACCTGAGCAGCTACCACACACAGGTGACTTCCTCTCAGAAAGTCCATAAAAACATCCACCCTGCTAGGCCACTAGCAGAACCTTCTTAGTATGACAAATACTTACTAGGCAGACCTAGTGTGAGCATAGTATTATGATTCTAACCCCTTAAACATTTAGCTTTCTCAGCAAACCATGACATCCAAATTTGAGATGCTGGATTCAGGAAGAGGAAGAAATAGGATGTACAGGAAAGGATAGACCGATGGTTAAAGAGGATACTAAATTCCCACCTTAGATGTGAGGAGTGACAGGTGTCTGTGGAGGCCACCGGTGGCTGGAAATAAAGATGATCAGAATTATGTTAAGTAAGACCAATGACAGAGACATAGCAGGCTTCAGCTGGAAGGAGCAGGGAGTTCACATAGAGAGAAAACAGATGAAGAAAAACTCAAGTGTCCAGAGTAATATGTAAAGCAAGAGCAGAAAGAGTACAGTGAAAGAGTCTGAAGAAGAGGGACCAAAGAGGGAAGAGGTAAATCATGAGAAGAGAAGGCTGAAAAGCCAAAAGGA